CCCCACTCTTGTACCCTAAAGTTCAAAGTGGGGATACAGCCTTGACACAACCCTTAAAACAAATCATGGTATTCCTGAATGAGTGCCTAGTAGCCAGGTTCAGTATGATCTTGTAGTGAGAGCACCCGTCTTAGTTTTTCACAGGCAGCCAGGCCTAAAATTGGTGTCACTTCCTTTGGCACTACAATAAATGGGAGCCTGTATGTGGTGTGATGTGAGCAATGCACCTCCCCTTCACTGGTATATTTGTTCCAGAATAACCAGTTACTTGTATTTATGTTGGTCCCAATTTTGGTCTTATTTTCAGTCTCTCATAATCTTGTTCAAACAGAATAGTAACCTGAGCTCCTGCATCCAGTCTGAGTGGAATAATTGTTTCATTCAATTTCATAGGCAGTATCCAGTCCCTCCCATCCAGTTTGCTTGATCCCAGCACGTCTATGTAAAACTCCTCAATCAGGTTGTCTTCAACTGCAGGCACTTGACTTTTCTGCATTGGGGACATTATTTTCCCAACATTTATGACACAGTGTCCCAAATGCAAAACACTGGTTTGCGCCATGTTGTTCTTCACACCTTACACATAACCATCTGTACGCCATCTCCCCACCAGCAGTGGTTTTCATAGCAGGTGTTTCCACTTTTTGATTTGACCTTTTCTGGCTATGTTCTTTTGTACTTAGTATGTGGATAAGCCCTTCTGGTGAATTTAGCTCTTTGGCTTGTGCTGGCACAGTTTCTGCTGCCCTGCATATCTGTCTCTCTCTCTTAGCACATTATCTTTAATGCCACAAATGATTCTATCTTTGATCAGACACCGTCAGCTCACCAAAGTAACAGGTTTTACTGATTCGCCTTAATCATGTGACATATTGTTCTATGGTGGCATAAATTTTGTTCATGCATGTAAAACAAATGTCTCTCTCAAAGCTCTCATTCCTTTTTGGCATGCAATGTTCCTCAGATTTAGTCAGAATTTTACTTAACTTCATGCTTTCACCTTCTTCAAACTTAAAGGTGTTATACATATCCAATGCTTCCTCCCTGAAAACATGCCAAAAAATGATTATTTCACTTTATTGTTTTTCTCCTCTGTGGCTGCTAAATACAATTCAAATCTCTGTCAGAATTTTTTCTTGTGTTCTGCAACACTGCCTGGCACTCACAAACTGGATGCAGGTTGCGACACATCCAGGTTTGGCTTTCTTCCCTTCTTAAGCTAGTCAACTATTGTGCTCATACAATACATAAAAAAGTGTTTGTTTCTTTTCTATTTGCTGCTCCGCCCACTCCCATTTTCTCTGCTTTCAGTTTCAAACAAAGGAGTTAACCTCAAAATGTCCTCAATCTCTTTCTCATTCAGCACTTCTGATACCATAGAATGTTCTTGGGGTTCATTAAACAACAAACCAGTGAATGAGAAAGGAATCAAACTTTTATTAAAACAAACCTGAGAGTGTCTGTGGTGAACTGCTGTGCACGACTACACTGAGTTCTGCACCTGTGCTTCCAGGGGACCACTCAGAATTCCTATAATCCTAATCCTGTCCCTCTGAGGGAGCCTCTGTAAATAATTATCTTCTGCAAACATATCTCTACACTTGCTGTCCCTGCAGTGGCAGGGAAAAGATTAGGTGAGATCCGCCCAGCTGCCCTAGCAGGTGATCCACGCCCGTGCCGCAGAGGAAGTTAAAAAAAAAAGATATTCACCTTCCTCATTACAAACTTGTCCCTGTTTTTAACTGAAAAAAGTTTGAAATTTGAAAAAATTTCACCCAGCCCTTCTAATCTCGTTCAGACATGTTTTAAAAGCAGTGCATGGGGTTTAGGCTGGTATTTACAAAGCAACCTAAGGGCTGTTTACTTTAGTTTAGAAGAGGGATAGAGTAGTTGTCCCATAAAGAGCAATAAACCTACAGCCCCACCCGCTCCCTTCCCCCCACACTGAGAAAGTTGCTTTCGATTTTCACTCCTCAGTTAATAGATAACTTTGGAAAAGCCAGCTCTGGCTTCACTGACAGCAATTACTCAGTCCCAGGGTTCAAAGGTAGCAGGCAGCAGTAACCAGCGCCACCAGGTATGCAGAGTTACTGGACGGGACCCAGACCCAGATCTCCAGGTAGTACATTCTGCTTATTTAAAATTCAGCTGTGTTTGGTAATATTCGGGGTGCTGCTCAGAGCCAGGCCAGCTCCGTGCTGCTGGGATTGCATTGCTTTATTCCGGAGTGAGGGTTAATTTTGGCATTTCCACTCGTCAGTCCCTCCCCTGGGAAAATCTTCCAGCTTTTTTTCTAGTCGACAGGGTCAGTCGTCTAGTTCCTTTGTCTTTCTCTATCCACCTAACAGGGCCTGCCCTGTGCCAAGTATCAGTGTTTGCATGCCAGCCCAGAAAGATCACTGGAGATCAGCGTAATACAGAGGTTCTCAAACTGTGGATTAGGATCCCAAAGTGGTTGTGACTGCATTTTTGTGGGGGGTCACCAGGGCTGGCTTAGATTTGCTGAAGCCCAGGGCTGATGCTTAAGCACAAGCCCCACTGCCTGGGGCTGAAGCCTGAGGGCTTAAACCCTGGGTGGTGGGGCCACCTGACTGGGGCTGAAGCCCTTGGTCTTCTGTTTTAGCCCCTTCCCACCCCACCGGGCAGTGGGGCTTGGGCCTCCCCATCCTGGACTGTGGGGCGGGCTCAGGGTTCAGTCCCCCCCTCCTGGGGTTTTGTAGTAATTTTTGTTGTCAGAAGGGGAATCACGGCGTGATGAAGTTTGAGAATCCCTGGTCATAGATCGTAGAATATCAGGGTGGGAAGGGACCTCAGGAGGTCATCTAGTCTAACCCCCTGCTCAAAGCAGGATCAATCCCCAGACAGATTTTTGCCCCAGATCCCTAAATGGCCCCTTCAAGGATTGAACTCATAACCCTGGGTTTAGCAGTCCAATGCTCAAACCACTGAGCTGTCCCTGGTGTAATACTTTCATTTTCCCCACAGGGGAGGAACACATGTGCTTCTTAAGTCAGCTTTTCTCAGATGTGTTTGTACTGTGGGCTGGTTCTTAACCAAGAGGCCCTTTAAGAGACACTTTATGCCATTTTTGAATCCTGATCCCATGACTTCCTTCTGGCTTAGCTACAGGAAGGAGTATCTTTAGGACACAAAGCCTTGGATTTGCAAAGCAGCCCAAGTGATTTGAGCACCTACTCTAATTGAATTTCAGTGGGATTTGGGTGCCTCACTCCCCCAGTCCCCACTGAAAAATCCAGCTACTCTAAACACATTGTTTCCTTACTTTAATTTCTAACAGCTCTCCCTCCAAATGCTTGCATTCCCTGGTGCTTGAATCCTACAGAACAGAATTGTCTGTTCTGCTCCTCTTGTGTGTTTGCTGCTGCCCCTCCAATGCAGGTGTAATCAGTGAATTTGATCACAATAGAATTTTCACCAGAGACCTCTGGCAGTGTTGTCAGTTCTTGTGATTTTTATCCCAAGTCTTGTAATTTTGGTGTTTTTCTTAAATCTCCAGCTCCTGGAGTCCTGTGATTATGTGAGAATCTCAGCTTTCCTAAAAAAAGTAAGCTTCTAGCCCTCACGGTTGCAGTGAAAAACTTGAAAATGTTAACTGTGTGTGATTTAAAAGCTCCAAAAACATAAGGTGAATAAAAAGAACCCCAAATATATATATATTTTTTAAATTTCATAATTTTTAAGCTAGTGCCTTGATTTTTGAACTCTCGGAGCTGGCAATACTGCACCTGATAAAGACATAAGGCAACTGTGCTGCATGCAGAAAAGCCATTGCTTTTCCTCATTTACAGGTCAATAGCAGCCTCTGGAAACCTTAAGAAAGCTCTGGACTGGGCTAGAACTAGCAGGCAGCATCACTGGAGAGTGGCAGATCTGTCACTGTGAGGACAGAAGCTGCTCCATGGAGCAGCTGGAAATGCTGTGCTCTTCCCAGTCTCTGAACCACCATCCTAAGGCATTTGAGAAGACAAGACTCCTAGACAGTGGTTTTGTGCTGGGATTTCTTATCCCTACAACTACCTCAATACTATCTAGAGCTGGTTGGATATTTTCAGGATGGAATATTATTCTGCCAGAAAATGCCATTTCAGTGAAATCAACATGTTCCACGGGAACATGTTGATTATGATGAGATTGAAACCTGTCTATTTCCCAGCCAGCTCACCCGCCTTCCTGGTCCATCAGCAGCCTGCCTGTCTTCTAGGCACACAGGGTGCCAAGGAGCTGGCACCTTGGATCCCAAGTTCTCTGGCTCCTCGGCAAAATTTCCTGCAGGACAGAAATTCCACTTTCTGCCCAACTCTAAGACTAGCCCATGGAATCGGCCCTTCTCAATTTCCATTCCTGATCTAAGATTAAGAAAATCCCAGTCATTTCCAAGTAAAATTGAATTTAGTGATAAACATCTGTGATTTGTTGTGGTGTGCCATTGTGTTTTTAAATCTGCCCCGATGGAAAATGCTGTGAACGTTGTGATAGATCTCTCTAGCATGCAATGTATACATCCATGGCCCCCATTCCTAAAAGAGCTGAGAGCCAGCTTTTCAAGCAGGGCAATATTTTCAAATGAAACCAGCTTTAATTTAAGCAACAAAATAAGCGACCAGATTTTAAAGGGTCTCAGCACTCTACCTGCTAAAGAGAGCTGGTTGGAAATTTTCCATTGAAATGTTTTTTTCAATAGAAAATGTTTTCTGTGAAATTTAAATTATCTATACAAAAATGTCAATGTTGCCTATTTCTTTTTAATTTTCCATTGAGAAAAATTGAAATGAACCATTTTGTTTTGGGATGGGTTGACATTAATGGATCCCCTGAGCTGCTGATATGTACCATGGGAGTCCCAAGACCCTGATGGATCATGGGAGATGTGGTCCATAGAGGAGAATGGGGCATGAGGCATCTGAACTACAACACTAGATGCTCAAACTGACAAAACATGAAACATTCCAATGTCATCAAATCAAAACATTTCATAACTTTTCATTCTTTTAAAAGTTTAAATATTTTCACTTTTTGTTCCAATTTAGGGTGAAAAACAAATATCCAAATCTCAGATTTTCCCATGAGACAAAAATTCCATTTTTAATTATCTTTAATGTGATGCTCTTTTGAAAATCTGGCCATGCATGTCACAGTGGGAGTTGAGCTGAACCCTTTTGAACATCTGGCCCTTATCTAGGTGCCTAACTGTGAGCTGAGCACTTTTGGAAACCTAGTACCAGTTAAATGTGCTGAGCCACTCTGGAAATTCAGCATTAGTGGCATCCTGGTCCTTTTATTTATGGTCTAACGGCCTGATTCTGATTTCATTTATACCAAAGTAAACCATCAGTAGCTCCAGTGTAATGAAGGGAGTGACAAAGGTATGAGACTGCTATAAGTGAGAAGAGAATCAGACAGCAAGAGTGTTTCTGTGACAGTCACATGCAAAAGTTTGTACCTATAACATGTCTACGGCCAAATGAGGGCTCTTTATTCAGACCTTACAGAGACAAAACTCCCATCAGCTTCACTGAGAAATTGAGTCAGGATTTAGCCATTTGCAAATAGAATTATTCTTTAATCCACCAAGAGGTATGTTATCTTTAAAGGAACTAAAATCATTCTCCCTATTGCCTTCATTAATTCCTAGTTTTTCTTTTTCCATTGTGCATCAGGAGATTTTATTGTTGTTGTTATTATTTACCATTTGCATTCAGTTTCACCCAGTGTCTCCATTCAGGATTGGGACCCCACTGTGCCAGGTGCTGTACAAACATAAAATAAAAAGCAGTCTGAAGTCTTCGTTAATTTGGGTTTCTAAATGCACTTGTTACTAATAACAGGTTCTTTATCTAGTTGGTTACTTAAAATTAATTAAAAAGATGAAATTGGTGGGACACACATAGATACCTTATAAGTTTGATTTAATACAAGCAAGTATAACTGAAACAATAGAAAATGAAATCTAGCAAGATAAGTATAAAAAAATAACCCCCTGGGTCGTGCATAGGTACAGCCTTATGGCTGGTACAGGATAAAACAATTCCCAATGCTGACACACTTAGAACATCATAGAGACTGTTAAACCACAAAGATAGATGAAAAAGAAAGTGGAAATCAGCAAAGAGGGCTTGTTTATACTCAGGCTTTCGCCATTCAGTCATCCCTGGTGTCCCAACAACTGGCTGGATAACCGCGTTTTATTCATCCACACACGTTTGAGGTCATATCTGATAGGCGTTTGACTCTTGCACATATGTGGTATTCTGACTAACCATTTGTGGTATTCCAGCTAACCATAGTGAAGCTTCCACGAGTTAATATCTCACTTGTATCAATTAATGCCCCGGTAGTTTTGATATGTCAATGTGGTTAAATTCATAATTACCTTGTTGCAAAAGGACCTAAAAATCTACTATTTTGTGCAATCTTGCGGTGTACTTGATCCTTGGTAGTTTATTTAACATGTGCCAAGCACATATTAAATTCCATCACCTCTGGTCAAGCACATAGGCTAGCCCTTGCTAACAACCAGGCCTCAGGTAGGCCTCACGCTAATTCTTAATCTTAAAACCAATAGCAAAGTCTGAAATACTGAATCTTTGGTGTCATCTACTTACACTACTGCTTAGCACATAGGCTTTACATTAATCAGAAACAGAGGCTCTTAAAGATCAGGTCAGAAGCCTCCAGTGATCACTCAATGAGCTTGCAATCTAAATAATTTGTTATGAATTTATCGAGTGATTTTAAGCTAATAGGTGAAGTTCTGCTCCCAGCTGCACAGGCTCACTGATCATAACAGCGGAGCTGGGCCAGTGTAGGACACAGCTCGTGGATAGCCATGGGGGTTATATTGAATGAAACTATGCCTTAGGCACAATTGCACTATCGTTGTGACAGGCATTTAAATATTTTTATTGATCCTTGTCATAGGGCTGCCATCTTGGAGCACCCCCTCATGGCAAGAAGCTGCCCCACAGGCACCCAGCCTCAGTTCCCCCTTCTCTCAGGGCCTCAGGAATCATCCACAGAGATTTATATTCAAGAACAACCCCCCTTTCTTGGGGACTGGTATATTTAATACAAAATAAACCCAAAGCAAAGTCAAACCCAAAGTAAAGTCTCTTCTGCCTCAGTCTCCTACTGGGCACAGCCTGTCCTTCCTGTGGTCTCTGTTTCTCAGCCCTGGCCTCTGGTCTCTCCCCTTGAGCTCAGGGGGCCTGCATTTCTAGGCAGCAGCTCCCCACTTCTCCCTGCCTGAACTTCCCTGCACCAAGCAGCTCCCTGTCTCTAGCTCAGACAGGGCCCACACAGCCATCCACCCTCTGCAGGTTCACTTCCCCAGCTGACCAGGACTCTTCCCTACATAAAGTCCAGGTACTCTCCCTTAACTCCAGATAGGGACAGCTAACTAGTCACAGGGGCATTGGCCTCTTTCCCATATATCTACACAGCCCTGGCAGCGAGTCTCCAAGCCCAGGTCGTCAGAATGGGGCTTGCGCTGCCATGCTAAAAATAGAGTCAGTGTCACCCTGTGACAATCTTCCTTTTTATGTACACTGAACTATTTTACATTTGAGGTCTCTGAACTCAGAGCCCTCTTGTGCTTCCCATTTCCAGGCACCGTGGGGTTTGTGTTCCTGGTTATTGAACTTCCAGCTTCTTTCTGTTGTATTTATATCTGGGTCTTCAGAATGTGCTTTTCTGTTTCATAGCAATGGGTTTCTCAGTTCCCTGGACAGCAGCCATTCAGATGCTGGTGCTAGCGCTGGCCGTCCATTCCACTGCAGGTAAATTCATTGTATTTATTTTTGTTATGCACAGTGATAGTTTGCACTCACATACTAATTTCAGAAACTGTGAGTCTATCTGAATTTTTATCTCCCTTCCCATAACTGTTCATTTCCATACTGTTAGAGGCATAGCTGGTCTTTAATGTTCAATGGTGGGGGGTATTGAAAATCGGTTAAAATTGTAAGCTATCACTTTAAGTTTCAGAGTTTTTTTTCCTGGCCCTGCTTGCAGGCAGTAGGCTCTGTAGGGAAGTGTGTGATCTGGGTCTAGCAGCAGGCAGTCTGCAGAAAGCCAGCCTCAAGCAAGGTGGGGTTTGTTGGGCCTCTGTGTTTCAGGGAGCAGCCTGCTTTCTCTCTCTGTGTTTTTGGGTTCTTGTGTATTATCATCCTGAATTCTAAGACATAGTGCAAACTTGCAACCTTCCAGCAAGGGTATTTTATGTCTTTTTATCTGATTTCACTATTTGTATGCTGTGAACGTAACACATAGAAATACTGACTTACATTTAAGGAAATTGTTTGTTTGTCAATTTCATGGACTTTTTTTTCTGTTAGACTACTGTGGAAGTTAAGAACTTCATGAAGTTCCCAGCTGCCTCTCCTTTTTCTCTGAAGCTCAAAGAATGAGTAGAGCCCTTAACTGTAACACATTATGTGGTGCAGTTTGCACTGTAGGTAGTTTAATTCTCTTTGTCTGCTATACAGCCCTCTCAGCGGGGCCAGTGCAAGGATGTTTCGCGCCCAAGGCGAAACTTCCACCTTGCGCCCTCCCCCCCTCCCCAGCCCCGGCGGCAGCCCCCCCCCCCCCCTCCGCCCTGAGGCCCCCACCGTGGCAGCTCCCCACCCCCCCGCCCTGAGGCACACCCCCCCCCACGGCAGCTCCACCCCCCCGGCCTGGGGAGCTGTGCGGCAGCTCCCCACCCCAGTTCACCTCTGCTCCGTCCCCTCCCCAAGCCCTGCGGCAGCTCATCCCCTGCCCTGAGGCGCCTCCCCCATGGCAGCTCCCCACCCCCCCTCCACCCTGAGGCACCCCCTGTGGCAGCTTCCCTCCTCGCCCCTGGGGAGCCATGCGGCAGCTCCCCACCCCAGCTCACCTCTGCTCCGCCCCCTCCCCGAGCCCTGTGGCAGCTCCCCACCCCCCCGGCCTCCCAGGCTTGCGGTGCCAATCAGTTGTTTGGCGCCGCAAGCCTGGGAGGGAGAGAAGCAGAGCGGGGCGGCGTGCTCAGGGGAGGAGGCGGAGCAGAGATGAGCTAGGGCGGGCAGCGGTTCCCCTGCATGCCGCCACCCCCTTACTTGCTGCAGACGGCCCTCCCCGTGTCCCCCTGCCCCAGCTCCCTCCGCCGAAATGGCGACAACGACCGGGGCGGCTGAAGTTCCAGCCACTGCGGTCGCCACCGAAGAAAATGCCGCCCCCCAAATGCTAGCACCCTAGGTGACCACCTAGGTCGCCTAATGGGTTGCACCGGCCCCGCCTCTCAGGCAATGTGCTGCGGACCAAGTGGTTACCAGCTGGTTAGTGGTCCAGGGTATGTGTAAGAGATACTTCTCCTGAATCTCTGAGCCCTTTGCGCCTCTCCTTTCCAAGAAGTGGAAAGAAGTATATGAGATGGAGCCCAACTGGCTAGGAGGAGTCACGTAAGCTGAAAAAAGGATTGCTATAGCTTGCATGCACCTTTATATTTTCTCTAATCCTCAACTAGCAATTAGAAAGACACATGCTCTCTTTCTCTCTCTCTCTCTCTCATATGCACACATATCTAGATACAACAGTCACTAACTTTGTTTATTTACACATTATTTTCTTCAAATGCAGCCCCGTATTTTATTTTCAAAGACACTGACATATATGGAAAGTTAGAAAGGTAGTAATAAGTAGAGCTCATTGGGAATTTTTTGATGAAACTTTGTTGTTATTGCTTCAAAGTACTTATTCATCAAAACTCAAATTGTTCAAGAACCAGCTTAAATGAATTTACCAATTCAAAAAAAATGTACAGAAAAAAGTTTTGAAATTGTGAAAAATGTTTCATTTTGACATATTCAAAATGAAAAATTCTAGTTTTCTGATTCAAAATCACTTTATTGTTTAGAAATTAAAGCCTCATTAGACTAACAAAAATTTTAGTCCACCCTCAAAAAAGTCACAATCAAAGCAAGAGACAAGGTGGATGAGGTAATATCTTTTTATTAATAACTTCTGTTGGTGAGAGAGACAAACTTTCAAGTCACACAGAGCTCTTTTTCAGGTCTCTCTCATCAACAGAAGTACTCACCTTGAGTACCTTTCCCAGATGTGAAGAAGAGTTGTGTAAGCTTGAAAGCTTGTCCCTTTCACCAGTATAATTGGATCCAATAAAAGATATTACCTCACCCATCTTGTCTCTCTAATATCCTGGGACTGAAACAGCTACAACTATTGCATGAAATCGAAATAAAACATTTGAAAATGATCAAAATGAAACATTTTCATTCCCCCCCCCATGAATATTATTTTTCCCCATTTCTAGCAGAGAAAAAAAGTTCAGACTCCTAAACATTTCCCAGGATGGGAAAACCCTTTTCTACCCAGCTCTAGTAACAAGTCATTTTGGAGCTAGAGAGAGCCAGAGAGATGTAAGACATTGATGGTCATTTGAAGTCCGGATAGTCTTCAATGGCCTTTATTTGAAATACAGTTTGACCAGTTTTGTGCAGACTATGAAGAGCTATCCTCCTCCACTTTCAGAGTGGAGTTTGCCATTTTCAGGCCAGGCCAATTTTCCTAACCAAACTTAGGGGTAGAGGTGCATATCAAAAGGCCCACAATTGAATCTAGGTTGGAATCATGACTATGCAGCCTAGTCAGGACCACATAATTCCAAAACTTCTTCACAAACTGTAGCTGCAGAGAGGGACATAGACAAACCACGGGAAGTGCACAGACCCCATAACAAATTATGTGTCTCTTATCTTTATAGGTAACAGCCATAAACCATTGATTGTCCTGGACAATTATGAGGACAATGGGATCAGAGTCACCTGTTTTTCTGAGAGGAAGTTTTCTGATGTGCAGTTGTTGTGGACAGACAGTAAAGGACACAATCTTACTGGAAGTCCAACCTCCGACACAGATGAGGCTCGTGCCAAAAGTTCGATCCTTCTGAAATCAGGATCTGACAATGCCATCTCCTGCAACATAATTGATAACGTGCTAAAGACCTCAAACGAATCTACAGTTGTAATTGCAGGTAAATGAGAACTTGTATCAGTGTCTCCCAGGAGGAAAAAACACAGGTTGTCTCAAAATGATTCCAAATCTTTTAGATGAACACAATTCCCAACTCTCCCAGAAATCATCTTCATTGACCTTTTCCTCTTTTTTTTTTTTTACACAGAACCACTACTTACAAGTATCTATAGGTAAAAAGTGAAATTCTTTGAAGTATTATTATTAATAAATCTAACAATAACTCGTCCTATGTGTGGAGTTGCTTGGTAGAAATTAACTCCGCCAGTGAGCAGCAGTGTCTTTTGACAATTTCACTATTTAACAGACTGATGGAGAATGCTCTGAGTCCAGGTGGGCAAGGTAATAACTTTTATGGGACCAACTTCTGTTAGTAAAAAAGAAAAGATTTGGAGCTTACACAGAGGTCCAAAAGGTACTCAGTGTGTCTCAGCTAAAAACAATGTGGAACAGATTGTTTAGCATATGGAGTTAACACATGTTGCAAGAGATCATTCAAGGTAACATGGGTAGTTTGCACCTCTGTAGTCAAAGGATGAAAGAGGGTTAGTGGGTTACAGATTGTTGTAATAAGCCATAAATCCAGTGTCTTTATTGAGTCCATGATTTGTAGAGTTTAGCAAAGTTATGAATTTAAACTTCCAGGCTTGTCTTTTGCAGGTGTTGTGCAGGTTTCCCCTGAGGATGAGGACTGAGACGTCAGATATGAAGTGATTGTTTTGTGACAAGTGTTTGCCCATGGGTGAAATGGTGTTCTTGTCTTTTATGATTTTTCTGAGTGAGTTCTTTGAAAGCATGGTGATTGTCTCATTTCACCTACATAGTTGTTATTGGGGCATTTAGTGCACTGGATGAGGTACACCACAAAGGCATGTGTGGGACCCATGGATCTTGAAAGGTGTGTTGTGATGGGTATTGATCATCTAGCATGGCGATATGTCTGCAAGTTTTCATCTGTTGTTTTCGCAGGATCTGGTAACGCTTTAAGTTGGTGTCCAGGTCTGTGGGGAGCTTGCTTCTGTTGATGAACTTGGTGAGATTGAGAGGGTTGTTTCAAGGCCAAAAGTGAGGATTCAGGAAAGATTTCATTCAGGATGATGTTCCCATCGAGTATGAGTTGTAACTATTTAAAGATATCCCTTATGGGTTCCAGTGTGGGCTGGTAGGTGACAGTGGGTGTGGTCAAAGGGTGTTTTCCATATCGAACCAGGTTCTCTATGGGTATTTGGTTGGCCTGTTCCATGAGGTGATGTACTTCTCTAGTGGAGTGTCCTTGTTTAGTGAAGGCAGATTTAAGTGTGTTAAGGTGTGTACCTCAGGCTTTCTCCTCAGAACATATTCTGTGCTATCTGAATGTCTGGCTGTAAATAGATTTCTTGGTGTGTTTGGGGTGTTTACTGAATCTGTCGAGGTAGGTGTTGTGATCCATGTGTTTCTTGTATATAGTTGTCTGTAGGGTTCCATTGATGAAGCTGATTGTTGTGTACAGGATGTTGATGCTGGTGTGGGAATGTTCCAGAGAGAGTGGTCTAATCTCTCTCTTGACCATCAGCATAATATCTCATCATGGGATTTTCATCCCATGCCTCCGGGTGTTAGGAGCAAAGCATGTACTTTCAAAGGGAGTAGTGCTCCTAAATTTCTTGGACACATTTGAAAATCTCATCCTAAAGACCAAATCCAATGCACACTGAAGTCAATGGAAAGACTTTCATTGCCTTCCATGGCTGATGGTTAAGGCCTTGGAGATGTTTTTTTCAAGAACAAGCTCAGTACTGATATAACTCTCCTCCCATTCAGATCAATGGGAGTTTTACCAGTGACTTCAACTGGGACAGAGTTAGGCCAATACTGAGTGCTTTGAAGGTCCCACCTTGAGTGTTTATAACTTATCTCTGGATGTTATTGGAGGCCTTCATTAAGGCACCCTCTGTTTCTCTGGAATGCATGAATCTACCCAAATAATACATTGATGTATGTGTTTCTTACTCTCAGGAGGGATGGGTCTGGGACCTATAGCAACTCTTCACAATATCACGGGGAAAACTGTATAGCCTTTCGATGAAAATCCACCCCTTCATGCATAAGACAGTGCCTTCAATATGTCCTAGAGAGAGTTCAGATCTCATAGAATCATAGAATATCAGGGTTGGAAGGGACCTCAGGGGGTCATCTAGTCCAACCCCCTGATCAAAGCAGGACCAATTCCCAACTAAATCATCCCAGCCAGGGCTTTGTCAAGCCTGACCTTAAAAACCTCTAAGGAAGGAGATTCCACCACCTCCCTAGGTAACTCCCTAGGTGCTTCACCACCCTCCTAGTGAAAAAGTTTTTCCTAATATCCAACCTAAACCTCCCCCACTGCAACTTGAGACCATTACTCCTTGTTCTGTCATCTGGTACCACTGAGAACAGTCTAGATCCATCCCCCTTTCAGGTAGTTGAAAGCAGCTATCAAATCCCCCCTCGTTCTTCTCTTCTGCAGACTAAACAATCTGTTTCCTCAGCCTCTCCTCATAACTCATGTGCTCCAGCCCCCTAATCATTTTTGTTGCCCTCCGCTGGACTCTTTCCAATTTTTCCACATCCTTCTTGTAATGTGGGACCCAAAACTGGACACAGTACTCCAGATGAGGCCTCACCAATGTCGAATAGAGGGGAACGATCACGTTCCTCGATCTGCTGGCAACGCCCCTACTTATACAGCCCAAAATGCCATTAGCCTTCTTGGCAACAAGCCTTCTTGGCAACAAGGGCACACTGTCGACTCATATCTCACCTGCTTCTCATGAAGATTTAATTTAGTTTTGTCATTTTTGAAAGGAAAGCTGAATGACATGAAAGAATAATGGACACTGTGAACTGTTTTGCAGATGTTTTCTTCCCTGCCACCTCCCCGTGGATGACGGCCTTCATTGTGATATTGCTGATTAGCATAGCCCTGGTTAGCGCTGCGATTTATAAGCTGAAAAGTAAGTTTTCCTATTCGTGTTATTTCAGAAAACACTAAAGAGTCTAAACATTGTGATATGAAAGAACTTGGGTAGAAGATGTGACTCATTCCCATGTACAGCCTGTGCCCCATGCAAACCATCCAAAATTGCTCAGTGAGGCTGTTCGGGCTAGATTCACAAAGAAACAGGTGAGGGGACGCTCACAACCTCTAACTTTCAGGTGCTTGGATAATCAGTGGTATTAACAAAGCATGTGTGAGGTGCCCAGGCTCCCTGTATAGTGAATGGAGAGAGGTAGGCACCCCAGAATGGGATTCACACAAGCCAGCCCTCTGCACATATCTTCACCTAAATCAGCCGGTGGGTGGTGCCATGCCAAGGGGTGTGTGCTGAGCCCTGCCCTTCACTTGGAGATAAATGCCTAAATACAGGCTTCAGGGAGGCACCTATCTCTGCTTATCATGCTCAGCTCCAAACTCTTTCTAGCTGTCATTTGCCTTCGCTATGTTAGCAATAAGCTGGAGGGAGGAGCTCCATTGTAACGTTTAGCCCAGTGGTTATGGTACTCATGTGGGATGTTGGAGAGCCCTGGTTTAAGTCCCCCCGATACCAGATGGGGAATAAGGGATTTGCCACCTCTCCAGTAAATGCCCTAACTACTGAGCTATAGGATACTGTGATGTGAGCCTTTCTCAGTCTTTCCTGTTGAAGCTCTTGCACTGTAGACTAAAAAATGAAAGAATCATTGGGCCAGAGAGATAAAGCAAACATGAGAATGACTCTGTAGCCTGGTGGTAGCGCATACTCACTGGAGTGATGGGAGACCCCAGGATGAGTTCCCCCCACTCCAATGACTTTTTTATTATTATTTATCCAAAGTGGAACAGTTTCAGTGGGAGAAATTGAGTGTGCCCCATCTTGGGATTTCCCGTAGCCCACTGGTTAGGGCACTCACTTGAGAGGTAGCAGAACCCTGTTTAAATCCCATTTCCCCCTGATGTGGAGGCGGGGAGGGCAGGGCCAGGCTTGAGTAAGGGGTCTCCCATATCCCAGGTGAGAGGGCCTGATCCAATAGGCGAGCTCTGAACATGCTTATCAGATTGGGTCCTGCATGTGAGGTAGGCAGAGGAACGTCTATCTTTCCCTGGTGCTGAGGGAAGTTTGACTGCAAAAATTTAGGAGCCGAGTGAGTTTAGGTGCCAACAGGGTTTGGGGACAGCTGAGCAGGGGTTTAGTGAATCCCACTGGAGCCTGATTCTGTGTTTTAGGTGCCTAAAGTGGCAGTTAGCGCCTAAGTCCCTTTGTGAATCTAACCCTTCATGTAGTAACAATTGTAAGAGTTCTGCGTGATTAGCCTCCCTACCACCAGGCTCATAGCATCACAAAATGGTAGACAACCTTGACCACCATGCTGAGTTTTTTACTTTATTTTTATTACATTTAGACAATGATAATACATGAGAACAGACAGTTACAGACAGTCTCATGGCACATAGATGTCGAACAACATATAGGAAAGGAAAAAATAACTACAACATATGTATTACCTGTTACTATATCGTAAATCCCGACCATTCTTCATAACTTGTGACATTGAACAGAGCTTTGTGCACTAGGAAATGGGCTGAGTGGAAACACTGATTTCACCTAGCTTACCAAACAGCTACTGCGTTCATCAGTGCCCATTTTTCTTGAGCACTAGTTTTAATTGTTAGTGTGGATCAGCTCTGACTTGTGTGATGGTTACTTGAGAAATCACACATTTCCAGTCCTGTGTGGTTCATCAAATATGATCCCTGTGAAGCACACAGAGCCATAATATGAAGTTAAATTGTCTCCTTTTTAAAAAATCATCACTTTATTTATTTAATTACTTTTTCAGAAAACAATGAAACAACTGCTCTGGCTGGTAAGTCCCAATAAATATAATATTTACTCATCTCCAAGTCTTGTGTAAATATTAAGTACTACTAGTTAATTGCACAGTAGAAACCCTGGGGTTGATTCTCCTCTTACACCCGTTTTTTATGTTGTTGATTATTCTCAGCTTGCAGTGGTGGGCCCTGAAAGTTTAACATTTGTCTTAAAATAACTTCTAGCATCAGTTCCAAAACTGGATTCAGCTAATGTTGCAGGGCACTTGTTGATGGTCCACAGAGTACAGGCTAGCTGACTCTCCTGCTTGTTCCTAGCTGCTAAACTCTATTAAAAGACAGGTAAAAACACATGAAACACCTCCCTAATAGTACTTTCCAATCCTGAAGTTGCCACAGGGGTATTATTTGACTGTTTATGGGAGATGCAGTCTGTGCTACCATGAATGGGAAGAGAGATTTCCATGGGACACACTCTCTAATATGAAGTTGTCCACATTAGGATTGTCAAATTTTTTCTGTCCAAACTTTTTTTTCTGACTAAACAAAAATTTTGCAGAAATTATATGTTGTCCTCAAAACGTATCATAATGCATAGAATTGTAGAAATGTAGGCCTGGAAGGGATCTTGAGAGGTCATCTATTCCAACCCCCCATACTGAGACAGGATCAAGTTTACTTAAACCATCCCTGACAAGTGTTTGTCTAACCTGTCCCACAACCTCCCTTGGTGACCTGTTCCAGTGCTGAACTATCATGAGAGTTAGAAAGTCATTCCTAATATCTAGACTAAATCTCCCTTTCTGAAAACTAAGCCAATTCTTTCCTGTTCTACCCTCAGTGGATATGGACAACAATTGATCACCATTCGCTTTATAACAACCTTTTACAGACTGTTCTCATGTCCCCTGACAGCCTTCTCTTCTCTAAACACATCCCATTCTTTCAACCTTTCCTCATAGGTCATATGCACAAAGGAGGTTGAATTAAGGTTGTTCCAGCAGCCTTAATTCCAGAATTTCCTAAGTTCTGAGTGCTTGATTTTGCAACCCGAACTTTCTTTTAACATTGTTTTAATGTAATATTTATATACCTTTTGAAACTAGCTGTTAATGCACTAATCATTATCTCTGGGTTTGTAATATATTTCTCTCTGTATGCAGTAAATGACAAGAAAGCCATCGAAGACGGTAACTATAACATATGTTATGTATCCTTTCAATAATATTTCTGTACATCTATCAGATCTGGCTAAAAAATAGTATTTGACAAATGCTAAAATCAAGGAATTACTCATCAACCAGTTCTGATTTTTGTGAATATACTTGATAAAGCAAAACCCCGTTTTACAAACTAATGGGGGATTGAAGAGTTCATAAAATCAAAAAGTTAATAAAATGGAACATGTCAAAATGACAGTAGGTCCAGTGCATAAGTTGCAGTATGGGGTACTTCAATGCTTTCTATTTGACCTTCACACCACTGGAAAGAAATTTCCAGGGCACATAAGCATCAGGATATGAAGGAAAGTCGATTTGTTCCTCATTGACATCACATTTGTTATGTGATTTTTTTTTTCTCCATCAGGAAAAATGGTTTGTATAACTAGTCATTCATAAACTTGGTGGTTGTAAAACTGAGGCTCTATTGTATGTGAAAACAGTTGCCAGATATTCCCAGTGAAGAATTGGCAGTCTATGAAAGTCCTCTACCTAGCATTGAATGTCTGGCATACAGTATTTCAGCTGTGTCCACTCAAGTCACACTGTTTTGTTTGTATTTGCAGACTTGATAAGTAAAGTGTTCTAAAAAGCTTGATTGGTTAAAATACATGTTTGATGCTGAATTCATATAGTTGATTTAATGGTGCTGGCCACCTCTGAAGCTTTTCTTAGTCACAAATATGAAAGGTTTTAAATATGGTCAAATTGAACCAGACCTCTAATATTTGTGAATTGTTTGCCAATATGACCTGCTGGCATGAG